ACAACACAGGCAGTAACCTCTTTGATCTCACCACAGCAAACTTCTTACTAGACATGTCTCCAGAGGCAAGGGAAACAAAAGCAAAAATGAACTATTGGGACTTCATCAAGATAAAAAGCTTCTGCACAGGAAAGGAAACAATCAACAAAACTAAAAAGCAACCTAAGGAATGGGAGAAGACATTTGCAAATGACATATCAGATAAAGGGCTAGAATCCCATATCTATAAATAACTTAACAAACTCAACACCCAAAAACCAAAATTCTAGTCAAAAAATGGGCAGAAGACATGAACAGACATTTCTCCAAATAAGAGATACAAATGGCTAACAGACACAAGAAAATATGTTCACCATTACTCAACATCAAGGAAATACAAATCAAAACCTAAATGAGATACCACTTCACACAGGTCAGAATGGCAAAAAGGAACAACACAGGAAACAACAGATGTTGGCGAGGATGCAGAGAAAGCAGAACCCTCTTACACTGTTGGTGGGAATGCAAACTAGTGCAGCCACTCTGGAAAACAGTATGGAGGTTCCTCCAAAAGTTAAAAATAGAACTACCCTATCAAACATTTTTTTTTTTTTAAGATTTTATTTATTTGACAGAGAGACACAGTGAGAGAGGGAACACAAGCAGGGGGACTGGGAGAGGGAGAAGCAGGCTTCCCACAGAGCAGGGAGCCCAATGCTGGGCTTGATCCCAGGACCCTGGGATCATGACCTGAGCCGAAGGCAGATGCTTAACGACTGAGCCACCCAGGCGCCCCTACCCTATTAAACATTTAAAGAAGAGTTAATACCTATTCTTCTCAAACTATTCCAAAAACAGAAATGGAAGGAAAACTTCAAAATTCATTCTATTCATTACCCTGATACCAAAACCTGATGACTCCACTAAAAAGGAGAACTACAGGCCAACATCCCTGATGAACATGGATGCAAAAATTCTCAATAAAGTATAAGCAAATTGAATCAAACAGTACATTAAAAGAATCATTCACCATGATCAAGTGGGATTTATGCCTAGGCTGCAAGGGTGGTCCAATATTTGCAAATCAATCAACATGATACAGCACATTAATAAAGAAAGGATAAGAACCATATGATCCTTTCAATAGATGCAGAAAAAGCACTTGACAAAGTACAACATCCATTACTGATAAAAATCCTCCATAAAGTAGGTTTAGAGGAAACATACCTCAACACAGTAATAGCCATATATGAAAAACCCAGAGCTAGTATCATCCTCAATAGGGAAAAACTGAGAGCTTCTCCTCTATGGTCAGGAACAAGACAGGGATAACCACTCTCACCACTGTTGCCCAACATAGTACTGGAAGTCCTAGCCTCAGCAATTGACAACAAAAAGAAATAAAAGGCATCCAAATCAGCAAGGAAGAAGTCAAACCTTTCACTATTTGCACATGACATGGTACTCTATATGGAAAACCCAAAACACTCCACCAAAAAGTTACTAGAAAGAATACACAAATTCAGTAAAGTCGCAGGATACCAAATCAACATACAGAAATCTGCTGCATTTTTATATACCAATAATGAAGGAGGAGAAAGAGAAATCAAGGAATCAATCCCATTTATAATTGTACCAAAAACCGTAAGATCCCTAGGAATAACCCTAAACAAAGATGGACTCTGAAAACTATAAAATGCTGATGAAAGAAATTGAAGCTGACACAAAGAAATGGAAAAACATTCCATACTCATGGATTGAAAAAACAAATATGGTTAAAATGTCTATATTACCCAAAGTAATTACACATTTAATGCAATTCCTATCAAAATACTACCAGCACTTTTCACAGAGCTAGAACAAACAATCCTAAAATTTGTATGGAACACAAAAGACCCCAGATAGCCAAAGCAATCTTGAAAAAGAAAAGCAAAAGCTGGAGGCACCACAATTCCAAACTTCTAGTTCTATTGCAAAGTTGTAGTGATCAAGACAGTATGGTACTGGCACAAAAAAAGACACACAGATCCATGGAACAGAAGAGAAATTCCAGAAATGAACCCAAAAATGTATGGTCAATTAATCTTCAACAAAGCAGGAAAGAATATCCAACCGAAAAAAAAAAAAACCAATCTCTTCAACAAATGCTATTGGGAAAACTGGAGAGCAACATGCAAAAGAATGAAACTGGACCACTCTCTTACACCATACACAAACACAAATTCAAAATGGATTAAAGACCTAAATGTGAGACCATAAAAATCTTAGTGGAGATTACAGGCAGTAACTTCTTTGACATGGGCCACAGCAACTTCTTACTAGGTATGTCTCCAGAGGCAAGGGAAACAAAAGCAAAAATAAACTATTGGGACTTCATCAAAATAAAAAGCTTCTGCACAGCAAAGGAAACAATCAACAAAACTAAAACGCAACCAGCAGAATGGGAGAAGATATTTGCAAAGGACATATCTGATAAAGGGTTAGTATCCTGTATCTATGAAGAACTTAAAAATTCAACACCCAAAAACCAAATAATCCAGTTAAAAATGGGCAGAAGACATGAATAGACATTTTTCCAAAGAAGATATCCAGATGGCCAACAGACACATGAAATGATGCTCAACATCACGCATCATCAGGGAAAATACAAATCAAAACTACAATGTGATATTACCTCACACCTGTCAGAATGGCTAAAATTAACAACACAGGAAACAACAGGTGTTGGTGAGGATATGGAAAAGTGAAACCCACTTACCTGTTGGTGGTGCAGCCACTATGGAAGACAGTATGGAGGTTCCTCCAAAAGTTAAAAATAGAACTACCCTACAGTCTAGCAATTGCACTAACAGATATTTACCCAAAGGAAACAAAAATACTAATTTGAAGGGATACATGCACCCTGATGTTTACTGCATCATTATATTATAGCCAAATTATGGAAAGAGCCCAGATGCCCATCGATAGATGAATGGATAAAGATGTGGTATATATATACAATGGAATATTATTCAGCCATAAGAAAGAAATGAAATCTTGCAATTTGCAACAAAGTGGATGGAGCTAGAGAGTATTATGCTAAGTGAAATAAGTCAGAGAAAGACAAATGCCATATAATTTCACTCGTATGTGGAATTTAAGAAACAAAACAAACATGGGGGAGAAAAAAGAGAGAGAGGAAAATCAAGAAACAGACTCAAGTATAGAGAACAAACTGATGGTTATAGGAGGGGAGATGAGCGGGGTGGGGGGGATGGATTAAATAGGTGATGGGGATTAAGGAGTACTGCTGTAATGAGCACCTGGTGTTGTTTATAAATGTTGAATCAGTAAATTCTACACCTGAAACTAAAAAAAGACAAAAACAAACAAAAATCACAACATCTTTACAATGTCCTTTTTTTTATTATAGAATTGACCAAGCTGATTCTAATAGTGGAAATGAAAAAGGGCCAAAACAGTCCTAATAATTAAAAAATAAAGTAAGGGATAGTAATAGACACCAAGAATTATTGTAAAGCTTTGAGAATTAAGGTAGGAGGTAGAAAAAGTGACCAATGGACCAGAAAATAGAGCCTACAAACAACCATCCATACATGGAAGCTTCATTTATATTAGAAAATTTTATAGATTAGTAGGAAAAAAATTGATGCCTCAATAAGTGTGTTAGAACAGGGTATCCACTGGAGAAAAAAATGAAATTGGATTCCTACCTCAACCCATACAATTAAATAAATTCTAGGTAGATAAAGACTTTACTATTAAAAAAAAAAAAACTACATTTTTTCCCCATCCTTCATTTAGCCAGCATATAGTACATCATAAGTTTTTGATGTAGTGTTCAATGATTCATTAGTTGCACATAACACCTACTGCTCATCACAACACGTGCCCTCCTTAACTACAACATTTTGAAGAATATCTTATGACTCCAGGGAGGAAGGGATTTCATAAACAAGATCAAAAAGCACAAATCACAAAGTTTGTTCAGTTTTACTACACTGCAATCAAGAATTATATCAATCAGGTGGGGGAGTGGTTAAGTAGGTGATGGGGATTACGGAGTGCACTTGTGGTGATGAGCACCAAGTGTTGTAGGGAAGTGCCGAATCACTAGATTGTACACCTGGAACTAATATTACATTGTATGTTAACTAACTTGAGTTTAAATAAAAACCAAAAAAAGAATTATATTAATTAAAAGCCATCAGAGAGTAAAAAGGCAAGCCACAACCTACAAAAATATTTGCAACAAATGTATCTAACAAAGAATTGGTATCTAGTAAAGATAATTCCCAAATATCAAGAAGAAAATATTCCAACAGAGAAATGAACAAAAAACTTAAATAGGCACTTTACATTAAAAAAACTTGAGTAGTTGGTAAGTACGAGCAAAGTTGCTCAGCTTTATTATTAATCTTGGCCAACTAGAAAAGCATATTAAAACCACAAAGAGCTATCTTTTCACATCCACTAAATTTGCCACAATTAAGAGGTCAGAAAATATCACATCAGCAAGGTGTACAGCAACCAAAAGTGACTTCGACTTAGCCAATTAAATGTTTTTTCCTGGATCTTTGAATCTTAAACAAGTGATTTCAAAATGTAGGGATGGCTGAAGGTCATTTATCATAATCAGAGTGGCAATATGCTGACCCGACTGGTTCCACCAAAAGGCCACCACTGTGCCGTTGTGACCTAGCCTTTGATGCCTGACCATTTCTTCCAAGCCTGTTCCTCTATCACTTATATTCCCAATATTTTCCAAAAACTCTTTGCTTAAGCTAGCCAGTATCAAATTCTGTTTCCTGCAATCAAAAAATCTTGAAATATCATTTCCCATTCAGTGGGAAGATTCAAAAGGTTTCTATTTTAAGTACAATGATGTAATTCCTGGAAATCGTGACTATTTCTTTAAAAATCTACATGACAGCAAATGGCTTTATGTTTAGACATGATGTGAACATCCACTCATTACAGCAGGTTCATCAGGATCAAAATAATGATAGCAAATGAGGTACCTAGCTCTTTCTCGGGCAGCATCCTCACGGGCTTTTTCCTTTTCTTGCCTCTGTTGTTCAATTCGGGCTTCTTGTTCTTTCCTTCTCATCAACAGTTCTTCTACACGGGCCTGCCGTTCTGCCTCTAGAGCTCTCTTGCGTTCCTACAGTCAAAAAAGTTTTAAAGTGCTCGAATTATGTGTAAAGTGAAAATGATAAAAGGTGGCACCATTTTGACATAAATTTATATATTCAAGCCAAGTAGATCCCTTGCTGGCTGATGCTTCTCAGAATTAAAAAAAAAAAAATTAAATATCAGTGATATGTAGTTTTCATATGTCATTTACCAGTATTACACATAATTATAAGAATAAATGCTCTTTGAAACAGAAACTATGTTATTCATATTCTGTGAGAACCTAACATATATTTTATGGTTAATCACTTCTAAAGCCTGGTGTTTACAAACGGTTTCAGAAATGCCAGAACATGATTAAGAAAGTATAGTTAACAAATTTCTGAACTAAGCATTCATGAAGGAGTTAAGTGGAGAAAGAAAAAAAAAACTTGTGGCAAGGAAAAAGAGCCATCATAATACAGCACAGTGGGTAAGAGAGTGGGCACTGGGTCAGACTCCCTGATTTTGTTTCATGACCCTATTATTCACTGGCTCAGGGACTCTGCTCTAGGTATATTATAACTGTGCCTTCGTTTTCTGGAAGACAAAAAACAATAGTACTAATGTCTTCAGAAATTGTGAAGAACAGATGAGATAATACATAAAAAATACTTACCAGAGGCCCTGGCATATAGAAAATTTTCAGTAATTACCATCATCAAGGCAGAAGATAATCAAAATACTGTGAAATACTATGTCCTATGTATATTTTTGCCTACTAGGAGTACTTTGCTAACTCTCACCATATTACTAGCTGTACTGATAGATTTTATTTTCATGTGCACATAGTTTTATTTTTTCTGTTTGGCATTTTATATACACTTTTTATATGAGGATACTTTTTGTTATATAATGTAAAAATTTCAATCATGTTTTTAGAGATTTTGTTTCCATCATGGCTCCTAATACTTTTGTTCTGTTTCATTAAAACCAAATGTTGACATTTTTATCTTATCTTCAATGTCTTTCAGTATCTTTTTCAACATATCAACCTCCATATTTACAAATACAGAATTATGGGTAAATTTCAAGACTATCTTGAAATTATTATTCTTTCCTCATGGAAAGTATATATATTATTACATCTTCATTTTCTCTTAGTGATATTATTTTTCATTTCTATTACTTATTTTTTTAAATTTGTATTTTAGGGGCGCCTGGGTGGCTCCAATGCTAAGCATCTGCCTTCGGCTCAGGTCATGATCCCAGGGTCCTGGGATCAAGCGCCGCATCAGGCTCCTGCTCAGCGGGAAGCCTGCTTCTCCCTCTCCTATTCCCCTTGCTTGTGTTCCCTCTCTCACTGTGTCTCTTTCTGTCAAATAAATAAATAAAATCTTAATAAAATTTGTATTTTAATCACCCAGTGCTCTGCACAAGTGCACTCCTTAATCCCCACCACCTATATTTCATGCATCCCCCCCCACCCACCTCCCCTCTGGTATCCATCAGTTTGTTATCAATTGTTAGGTCTGTTTCTTGGTTTATCTCTCTTTCCTTTTCCTTTGCGCCTTTGTTTCTTAAATTCCACATGAATACCAACATGAGTGAAACCATATGATGATTTGATCTACTTGACTTATTTCACTTAGCACTAAACTGTTAAACTCCATTCATGTCATTGCAAAGAGCAAGATTTCACTCTTTGTTATGGCTGAATAATATTCCATTTTATGTATATATACCATATCTTCTTTTTCCACTCATCAGTTGATGGACCCTTGGGATATTTCCATATCTTGGCTATTTGAAAGAATGCTGCTATAAACATAAGGGTGCTTGTATCCTTTTGAAATTTTTTGTATTTGGGGGGTAAATACCCAATAGTGCCATTGCTGGATCAGAGGGTAGTTCCATTTTTAACTTTTTTTTATTTTTTTAGAGAGAGAGCATGAGAGTGAGTGGGGAAGGAGGGGGAGAAGGAGAGAGAACCTTAAGGAGGCTCCATGCCCAGCGTGGAGCCTGATGCAGGGCTCAATCTCACGACCCTGAGATCATGATCCTGAGAACATGAAATTGAGAGTCAGACGCTTAACCAACTGAGCCACCCAGGCGCCCCCATTTTTAACTTTTGGAACAATCTCCATACTATTTTCAGAATGGCTGCACCAGTTTGCATTGCCACCAACAGTGCAAGAGGGTTTCTTTTTCTCCACATCCTCACCAACATCTGTTGTTTCTTGTGTTGTTGATTTTAACCATTCTGACAGTTACGAGGTGATATCTTATTGTAGTTTTGATTTATATTTCCCTTACAACGAGTGATGATGAACATATTTTCATGTGTCTGTTAGCCATCTGGATGTTCGTGTCTTCTGCTCATATACTAATTATTTGTTTTTTGGGTGTTGTTTTATAAGTTCTTTATATATACTGGATATTAACCCTTCGTGGATATGTCATTTGCAAGTATCTTCTCCCATTCCATAGGCTGTCAATACAGATTTTTTTTTTTTAACAACAAAGAAATTTGAATTTAAGAGAAAATTCTTTTATTTATATTTTCTTCATTGGAGATGATTTTCTGTGCCAGATTTGATTATTTTCAGTCTTAGAGTTTTTGAGATCTTAGATAGTGACACAAGTTTTCACATATTATGCTTACCTAGTACTGTGAAATAACTATAACCAGTTCATGAATAGTATATCTGACACAAAGAATATATTTAAAAACCTAAATGCATGCCTCCAGCAGTCTGTAATTTGCCACTCAGGCCTTCCTGAAATCAGTGTATTCCCTCTAATTCCCAGCCCCTTCCTTCCCTGGACTCCCCGCCAAAAAAAAAAAAAACACCCCAAAACAAAAATAATGTAGGGGCTTTTTAACTTATTAGTTTAAAAAGATTTTCTTCCACTGGGGTAGATAGGGCTTGTTGTAGGTATGCAGTTACTGTAGTCAGTGTAATTATGTATGAGAAGTATTCAAATGTCTCCTCAGTGTTCTCTAAACAGGAATTGCTTTAGTATTTTTTTTCTGTCATTTATTGGGCACTTTCTATGCTTTGCTAAGTCCTTACTTATATTAGTAATTTTGATATCACAACAAACTGGGGCTCTCTAAGGCAAAATGACTTGCACAAGGCTATATAAGTAGGAGTTAGAAGAACCTTGATCAGTGTATTCCATTAATCATAAAGACTAAGGGCCAGGGAGAGGTTGTGTGAGCTACCTGGGGAATGGGGATGATTTGAAAAAACATATTAATACAATCAAAAACATAAGAAACAACAGGTGTCAGCGAGGATGTGGAGAAAAAGGAACCCTCCCTCTTGCACTGTTGGTGGGAATGCAAACTGGTACAGCCATTCTGGAAAACAGTATGAAGGTTCCTAAAAAGTTAAAAATAGAATTACCCTCTGATCCAGCAATGGCACTATTGGATATCTACCCCCAAAATACAAAAACACTATTTCAAAAGGATACAAGCACCCCTATGTTTATAGCAGCATTCTTTACAATAGCCAAGAATGGAAGCAGCCCAAGTATGCACTGACTGATGAGTGGATAAAGAAGATATGGTGTGTACACACACACACACACACACACACACAGGAATATTATTCTGTCATGAAAAGGAATGAAATCATGCCATTTACAATGACATGGATAGAGCTAGAAAGTATAATGCTAAGTGAAATAAGTCAGTCAGAGAAACACAAATACCATATGATCTCATTCATATGTGGGATTTAAGAAACAAAACAAACTGTTATCTATCCAAATGAAGAAAACAAATGCACAAAATGCAGAGTGGAGGTGGGAAGTCACAAAAGAACTTGATTGTTGGATATTATTAGAATTTACTCCTATAAATTCTCTTCTGCTTTTTTTATTGTTATGTTAATCACCATACATCATTAGTTTTTGATGTAGTATTCCATGATTCATTGTTTGCGTATAACACCCAGTGCTCCATGCAGTACATGCCCTCTTTAATACCCATCACCAGGCTAACCCATCCCCCTACCCCCCTCCCCTCTAGAACCCTCAGTTTGTTTCTCAGAGTCCATAGTCTCTCATGGTTCATCTCCCCCTCCGACTTCCCCCCTTCATTTTTCCCTTCCTGCTATCTTTTTTTTTTTTTAAACAGTTTTAATGGATTAAGATGGTAGGTATTATCAAAAAGCAGAAAGCAACTTAAATAAGAAAGGAATAAAAAGTAATAAAGGAAAAGGAGAGGAATATCATTCCACTTGGGAGTTAAATATGAACCACAAATCTCCCTCATCCTCCATTTGTAGGTTTTATACCCAATGCCCTTTCAAATGACCTGTGCTTTTCTATAAATATTGTTAGTCCCACATCACTTGTGTTCTTGCTCTCTACTCATAATATTAATGCAATTGGGAAATCCTGTTTATCTCACTTTAATAAAAATATATCTCCAAATGGTAGGGAAACACTGCTCAGAATGTTGTAATCTGCTGTCTAGTGGTGGGGTTGTAAATAAATTATACTGGGAAATTTGAGAAAAAAAAACAAACAAAAAAACAAATGTGCAAAGGAAAAAGAAAGAGAGAGAGAAACCAAGAAACAGACTCTTAACTATAGAGAACCAACTGATGGTTACCAGAGGGGATGGCTGGGTTACCAGTTGGGGGGAGAGGAGGGATGGGTGAAATAGGTGGTGGGGATTAAGGAGTGCACTTATGATGAGCACTGGGTGATGTATAAAATTGCTGAATCACTACATTGTACACCTGAAACTAATAAAAGCTTAAAAAAATCTGTATTATGTCTGAAAACACGTTTCACAATAAAATGCAAAAGGCTTAGGCATTAAATATAAATAATTAAACCAGAACTTTTCACTTCATATTTTGTAAAACCAAAAGCTTTAAAAATATCCTTTCAAAAATTATAAAATGGTCTTAGAAATAAAATATATGTGTATATATACTTTATGTGTATGTGCATTGTAGCCAACTTGACTCTGTAAATATAATGTCAACTTGCTGATTTTATTCATGTGTATAAGACATAGTCCAAATAGAAATAACAGGACTTCAAACAATAGTCAATCTTTTAATTTTTGTTTTTAATTAATGGAAAAAGATAACTGGTAACTATAGCTAATGAATAAAATTGGTAAGTTCAGCTAGTATTTTCCTTTCTAAAATTTAAGTTTCCTAAATAAAAGAAACTTGATACTCCACATAAGCATCTCACACAGGACAGGAGTTCCACAAATATCTGTTGAATGAAGCATAACTTTATAAAATAATATGCATTATAAATCTATATACATACAAATAATGAATTAGAAAGATACCTAATTCTTAAGCCTTCTGAAACCTCTGAAACTCCCATATACTTTGTTTCATAGTCAGGGATTTGTTTATGGCAGCCTAAGAATGGATAATACAAATCCCTACCCTTTTAGGCCTACAATTCAAATGATTAGGAAAAAAGGACAGGCAGAATATCCAAGGAAATTTAACTTAAAACTAACCAATAATTTACATAAGAAAAATGGCAAATTGAGAATATATGATGACAACATTTACTTAGTATTTTACTTACAAGAAAGAAGGATCACAACTGCCTATAATAGTTGATGGGAATGTTAAAATGTAAAAGTAGTGAAAGTAAAGCAGACAGAGGACCTTACCATTATTTTATCTAGAGAATGTGTGGCATTAGTGCCTTGCATATCTAGTAATGACTACACATTAAAAAAATTTTAACTATATATATGCTATACATTACCAGTGGACTTTTCCAACATTATATAGGTCAATTAAACATGATAGGTTTTAAATTTTACATTGAAAATTAAATCCATAGGAAATTTCCATATTTTTAATAAAAAAAAAAATTCTGAACAGTCAAAACAATTTTTAAAGTATTAGTGAGTATAGAAAATCCCCTACTACTTTCAAGAAAGAACTGCTTTCCTTTAAGCTTTAATAAATGTTCCAATTTATCAAACAAGAGTCATCATTTTTAAATGGAACATAACTACTATATTTCAAATCTTCAGATCTATAAAATGAATCCAAAAAAAGGAACCAAACACTTCTATTCAAAATATACAATATTACTCATATATTTCCCCCAAAACCCAGCTAAAGTTACCTCTTCCAGACAACTTTACCTGACAATCCCCTCCTACCAACAGAGTTAATTATTCCCTCTGCTGTGATAACTCTGTAGCTTATACATAGTTTTACAACACTTTCACACTGTGTTGTATTGTTTACCATAAAGGATCATGTCTTAATTATCTCTGAATTATTAATGCCTAATGGTTCCTCAAAAGTAATACATAATTTACAAAATGTAATGATTTTTATAAAATGGTCCCAAGCAGAGTAACAGCGCTAATGCTGAAGAGACATCTCATATTGAAATTTCAAATACCGTATTTTATTTACTCATTTAAGAATATTAGTTAATAGAAAAATAATTTATAAATAGTAAAAATAAAAATTTTTGCTGCTCCTTAGAGAAGAAAAGTGGAAGTTTTTCAAATAAAATCATTCTGTATTTTTTAACATAAGTTAGCTTAGCACTCAGATTTAAATAAGACATTGAACTCAAATCAAATAGAGATCAGGGATGAATGTGGAAATGCCTGCCAATACCCACAAATAGCAAAGAATAATCAACGAACTTTAAAAATGCATTGCTGGAGATATGTTAAGAAAAAAAAAGAAGAAGAAGAAGGTAGCGGGAGGGGAGGAATGAAGCGGGGGGAAATCGGAGGGGTGGACGAACCATGAGAGAAGATG